TAATGTATCCCAAATCCGGGTAGAGGATTCAAACCCAAACAAAGAACCATAATGTAAATCATACAAGTCAAAAAATGTAAGCAAGTAAATGTGATTTATCCCTAAGGTAACCCCACTTTTAAAATATCCTCAGCTGAGTCTCCAGTTCTGTGATACGGTGGGAGAACTAACTTGAGGGTTTTGCGTTTGATCGCAAATGTTGCGGTTAGCAAGAGTCGCCACCGACTTTTCTTTTATCCAAAAGGAAAGGTGAAAAAGCATAGGAAAGACCTTTGAGATTGCTTCTTGAGTTCGGGGGGTAGATTATTAAAAGGGAATGTATTAGCACCCTTTTCATCCATGGTTATCCATGGGCTCTTAGTTACTTGCTAGATCACTTGCTTTTGTTTGAAATTGTGCTTTGTGTGGTTTTTGAAAGTATTTTGTAAAGAGGCCATTGTTTAGGCAATCTTTGTAATGATTCTCGTTCGTAAGAATGTATACAAAGATGTTTGATCTTTTGAAAATGTTTTCAATGTTTGTAAGATGTTTGAAAATGTGTGTATTTATTTTTGAAAATAGCAAGGATGTTTGTTTTGAAATGGAGCAAGTAATTAGGAGCAATCTACCTACTCAAATATCTTTCTTGTTCATTTTCTTTTCCTTTGACATTGTTGTATTACCATTGATTTGGTAAGTAACCCTATATTTGCATTTAAACGGGGTGGACATGGGTCATCGTATAGCCATGATTAGCAATGTTGCAATGGATCTTAGCTTTATTTTTTAGGGACTAAGATCATTTGTAAGGCAACTTAGATAGCGTCGTCGAGGGACTATGACCTTGTTTTTGTTTGTTTTTGCTAAGATACCTCACATGCGTAATATGGCCATTTTGTAAGGAAATTAAGTGGATTTTACCCTAGGGGTGCTTGTGTGCAAGTGTGTTGTTTTCATGCTTGATTTTGTCTTGAATTAGGGTTTTCTACTTGATTGATTTTATTCTTTCCATACAAACCCTAATTACTAGCATGTTATGTAAAAGCGATAAATTGAGAAATTTAAAGTTACTACGATATTACAACATTTATGGGAGGGGGGTATACAATTTATGAATGGAGATTGCAATAATATAAACCTAATTAATCTATTACAACCAAATTGAATATGTACAAATAATTGAAGAAATATATAAAGTATAAATGCAAATTGTAAGAAATGATTTTTGTGTTTGGATTTTTATATGAAAGAGGTTTTAACCTAAACTTAATTAGAGAAAAAAATAATTAAATTAAATTAACTTAAATTAATTAAGAAAAGAAATTAATTAAGAAAAGATTTTTGAATAAAACCCTAATTCTATTTAATTGATTAAAAGAAAATAAGTTTAAAGAAAAAATATTTTTTTTTGTATTTTTGTCTTGAAAATAATATATGGTGTTGTGAAATATTTTTGGCCTTTTCTACAATAAAATAAATATATTTAAATAAATAATAATCTAGTTTTAATTTAATTTACAAGGAAACTAGTAGAGTTAAATAAAGTATAATGAATAAAAATAATTTTTGTGTGGGAAAAATATTTAAATCTTGTCAAAACATAAATCTATTATTTTTATATTTTTTATGATTTTTTTGGTATTATAGAAAATGGATTTGAAAGGAAAAATGAAATAAATAAGTAAATAAAATTAAATGGGCCAAGGGGTGCCAAAAGTAGGCAGTGAGGTGAGCTAGCAAAAAATAAAAAAACACTGTCAGGCCCAAAGGGTCCAGCACTTGCAAAAAAATGTTAGGGAATATAAAATATGAAAAATGCAAAAGGGCGGTTCACATTGGTTCGAACCCTCGCCCTTTAGGTAAAAAGTGACTTAGTACGCGCGCGCTTGCCACTGGGGTGGCTGTTTTATCCGGTCATATAATCAAACCATAAATATATATTAGAAACTGCTTTCTGAAGGCAACTTCGTATTCAACCTCGCGCCTAGCCGGACCACCTGTATCTTTCTCATCTCTCCACAAAAATGGAAAGTTTAAACATGAAAGTTGTGGTGTTTCTTCCCACGAAACCAATCATATAACTTATGTAAGCTAAAAGTCAAAGATAAAAACTAATTTTGCTGGCCCTAAATTGAAACCTAATTTTCTCAGAAATTTCAAATCCAAAATTCTCTATACACATTCAATATAAATGGGAACTATGAACATGGTCAGCTTTAGAGCAAAGATATCTACATTTTGTCTTCACAAATCAGGATCAAATGATGCTTCTATGAAGAGATAGAAGTTTGAAAATTTACCTCTTGCAGCTGGAGTCGTGAATGGAGTTTGAGCAACTTTTGAGATGGCCTGAGGATCTGTTTAGCTTACTTGGACCTCCTTGAGTGTATTCCAACTCCTACTTTGCCTTGAAAATCCCTGAATCTCTCTACTCAAGTCAACCTGCAAGCTTGATATTTGAAAATGGTGGATAGTGATAGAGGAGTTACAGTCTTGAAACAGGGGCCTAGATTGCTTTGGTATGGTGTATAGAATGTGTTTGAATGATTAGTTTTCAAAACGCACGAGTGAAAATGAAGAAGATGAGTTTTTGTTCAAAACTGTGTCATCTTGCAAATAGTGTTTGTACTTATTGGCAAGAGGTTTTGAGGCTTGAAACAACTCAGAAGTTAAAATCACATGTTATGGCTTGGTTACTTGTTTTTGAAGCAAAGTTGACAAACATGGTTTCAATGTGGAGTGCAAGGGTTTGTAGGGTGGTTAGCAGGCTGTAGGCATATTTCTTCTTGATTTTGAATTCTTTTGAGTCAGAAACAACAATGTATGGGATCAAGAAGAGTTGACATTATGATTAAAGTCACTTTTCCAAAATGGAAGTGGTGACTTTCTTCCAAAAATGGAAATGCAACTTGGATAATGGCTCAAATGCTTGGACAATGGCTCTATCATTTGTGTAAGCATTAAATTATTGAGTGATTAGAAATTTTTAAGCTTGCAAAGTAATATTTGTACAACATGCTTGAAGATTGGATCAAGTGTTCTTCACAAAATGGCTTGTAATCCAAGTGACAAAACACCAACTTCTTGCCTTCGATTCTCCTTGATCAAGAATGATATCAAAGAGTTCTTGGACATTTTGGAAAGCTTGCAATGTTCTCTTAAACTCATCTTTGAATTTATTTTGAATATCCCCCTTGGAACTATGTGAAAAATTTCCATGAAGTTAGGTCAAAAATCTGCCTAACTAGTGCAAAATTTCACTAAGTCTTTTTTAGTTCATGAGCATGTATTCACAAAATTATAACTTGAGATATAATCACTTTTAGGAGAATTTTCGTGAATAAAAGTTGTAGATTTCATGGAGATCTACAACTTCCATGTTGGAAGTTTCTCTTGAATCATCTTGCATCATGGTGAAAATTTGGCCTAAAGTTATGAAAAAATAAGAAAATTTTCATACTTAGTAAAATTTCTAAGTTAAGAAATTTTAACATTTTAAGATGAAATCTTAAATTCTTGATTTATTGATGAATAAGTTTCCTATTTTGACATGTTTTGATGAATTATGATCTTTGGCACTTGAGTTTGACCAAAAAGTCAAAGTTTGACTTTTCAGTATACAGTTGACTTTTAATCAGTTGACTGCAAAATCCATTTGTCAATCCAATGGACTTGTAATGTTTTGAATCATGTGATTAGGTAAAAATGGTGCACTTGGACTCTTGAAATCATGCCTTAAACCAATTGATCATTTGCTAGGTCAAAAAATCTGAAATTGCCATTTCCCAGTCAAAATCCTAATTTTGAACATTTTGCCCTTTTGAAGATTTGATCAAATTTCTTGAGGAATTATGGTCCAAACTTGATCAAATGATACATATGAGTCTAAAATATTGATGTGGATAAAAAATTATGAAGTTTGACTGTAAATTGGTTATGGTTGACTTTTTCCCCAATATAGTTGATTTTTAGGTCAATTGTTCATTTGACTGATCAAAATTGTGATCCAAGGCTTGAAACTTGACATGAGTGATCTTGGGGGTCCATAATGGTCCATGAAAGTCATATAAAGAATTTATAGTCCAAAAATACTTGTGCAAACTCAAACCCTAATTTTGGTCATCAGTGCATAAGGAGGTGTCTTGAGCTGATCAAACCTTAGTGCAGTTTTGAGCCTAAGGAGAACTTATGAGAAAATTCTTGATAAGTGAGAGGGAAAATTTTGGGGTAAAACAGTGACCAATTGGAGTTTTTTGTTCCTTGAGCTTTGACTTGCTTCAGGTTCCAAGTCTTCGGAAGATGATTCTTCAGAAGTTTACTTCATTTAAAATTTTTGGTCTTCAGGTTATGATCCTTGACCAGGTTCAGAGTCCATGTCTTCAGGTTTTAATCTCCTTCAAAATTTGCTTCTTCAGATTTTGATCTTTAGAATCTGGATCTTTGAGCTTCTCTTTGGATGTTTTATGCAGTGTCAAAACTGACTATGTATGTGAATTTTAATACATGTTCCTGCACACTTGAATATGAGTTAGTACATGCAATTGTTCTTTAAATACTTTGTTATCATCAAAACTTAAGAGATATGGTGAAAACCAATTTATTCCAACAATCTCCACCTTTTTGATGATGTCAATCACAAGTATTCAAGAACAATAATTGTTGGTTTAATTAAAAAATTTACTTCAGGGTTTAAGGTTTGTAAGCTCCCTTTGAGTGTGATAGTCCTAAGAGTGAAGTTTGTAATCTTTCCCTAACTCCTATCCAGGTTAATTAAATTTATCTTTAAATCACAAAAATACATCTTCAAATTTTAACCAATAAAAAATTCTCAACCTATCAGATTCAGATGCTTAGGTACTTATCCTACTCCCCCTTTTTTCATCAACAATAAGAAGTAAATAGAAGAAAGAGAAGATACTGAAGAAAACATTTCATTAACCAAAGAAGAATAAAGTCAGATGCAAAACATGTTCAAAATAAGTGAAAAAACAAAATAACAAATGTTTGCTAAAACTTAAATCCTATGGTTTATGCTTCCGAATCTCCAGGATAACTTTGAGATCAAAACCCATTTCATCTTTCCTAGCGGGCACAATTTTCATCTGAACATCCATCTCTTCTTGCTTAGAAGCCATGATTTCTTGAGTGGAAGTTACTGAAGCCAATTTCTCTTATAGGTTATCATGCTTATAACTATAAGAAGCTACAAAATCATATGAGAAAGCCTTGAGATTTTGCAAGACTGAATCCATAGATGTATTGAGAGTGTATCATTTAGTTGTATGAGCTTTGTAATAACAAGCAAAGATCCTCGTAACAAACAAATTCCAAACCCTGTTATAGGTAATAGTCTTAAACTCTTCCATTTGGTATTTGATATGAGGTGGGAGGTTTAACTGGTGAGAGGGTGAGGTGTAGAGGGAATACATACAAGTATTGTGTCAGATTCTGACACAATATCTCCTTCTTTATTAAGAGAAAGGGGATGATCAAATGGTGCGGGTCGTTGATGTATTTCTAGTAAAGTTTGATATTTTATGGCTTTTGGTTAAGGTTGGTCTTGAGTTACTTGTTCAAGGTAAGTTTGCGCTACAGTTTCTGGTTGAGGTTGAAAAATGTGCTTTTCAATGATAGTTTGGTCAATGGTGTCTTGCCCATCTCCAACCTGAAGTTTAGATGTAGGTTGAACTTCAAATTATGGTTGAACAAGACTAGGTTCATGTTTAGATAAGTTTTGGGGTTCATGAATGGATTGGTCTTGGATAAGTTGTTCAGTTTCAGATTAAACTAGAATTTCAGTATGAACAAGGTTTGTTATGTATGGTTCAATATAATTGGTTTGGGTATTCTTTTTGGATGTTTGAGGGTATGGTTTCAGGAGGAACAACTTGTATAGGTTTAACAATGAGAGTTCTAAACTCAGAGCCATTAAACTAAGAGCTTTATCTTGAGCTTGAGCTCGAGCTTAAACTAGGAGGTTCAAGCATGATATTTAAGGGCTTTGGTTGTTAAGAGTCAGATATATATGCTAGATGGTTTTGTTCATTAGTTAACTCACCAACTAGCTGACTTGAAAATTCCTTTAGGACAGATTCTCTAGGAACAATAACTTGATGAATAAAGTTCTCAAGCATCTGACCAATGTTATGGGAATTTGATGCATCATATTCTGATTCTGAGGTTGGGTTAGAAGAGGACGTAACATGACACATCAATAGGTTTTGGTCATGTTTTGGTGATGGTTAGTGTTAAGGAGTTTGAGGCAGGATTGGTGTTTGAGATTTGGTCATAAATGGTGAATTAGAAGAATTTAAGACATTATCAGGGACAAACATCAAAGCATTACTTGTGTCAATAGTCTCTGCAACATCTGGTACAACTTACTCTTCTTCCACAATGGTCTCAAGAGCATGGGTAGAGACTTCTTCTAATACACTAGAAGCTCCAACATCACAAGCACCCTTAGCCTTCTTTAACACAGCTTCAGCTTCACCTTCTAATTGCTTCTGCAAAACTTTTGAAAAGGAAGGTTGTTCCAGAGCCTGACTCAACAATGATTTTTCTATTAGACTAGCTCCGTTTTTAAATAAACTCTGAAGTAAAGCTCTGAGCATATTTTACAGTAACCCTGGTTTTCTTGAGCAAAGGTTGTTCATCAAATTCATCTTCTTCTTCTTCTTCTTCTTCTTCTTCTTGCATTGCCAACTTCCTCGGCTTCTTCTTCTTAACAGACACAACCAAATCTAAAAAGGTTGTCTTCTAAGGAGTGGTTCCACTTCTTGTCTTGGTAGGCTTCAAGGCAGTTGTGGAGGCCACTTCTTGAACCTCCTTCTGAACATCCTTGTGGTGTACAATCTTCTACACAGATGGGTTCTAAACTACCTTCACAATTTCAGAAGAAATCAACCCCCTTTTCTTCGAGGTTTGAATACACAACCTTTTGGAGTACTAGGAATGTCACTCATAGTCAAAATGATTCTAGTATCCGCCCTTGCCATTTTGATGAACTTCTGAATAACTTCAGGATTGTCCAACTTGGAGATGTAAGGGAAATCATCAATAAAGGCAGTTTTGAAATTTATGATCCTTAGGGAATTTGTAGGTTGCACCATATTCTTCTTCAAAATTAATTTCATATTTTCCAGCACAACACTGAAAGAACATTGCCAATAGTTTCTTTCAAATCTTCTGAAGCACCATAAATCATCAGAGCCTCAATCAACCTACTCTAATGAAACAACTCAGAAAGAAGCCTTGCATAAGGAACATTCTTTTTGTGATTCTTGTTGGTTTCCCTGATAGCATCACACAAATGATTGAAGATGTGTGCACGTAAGTTGATTTTCTCATTATTGACTAAGAACTAGATAAAATGTTTGTGATCTCTAGAGATTTTATCAGTACTCTTGTATCTTGGAATCAAACAACCAATCAAAATTTTGAACAGAAGATTATACTCAGTCTTCATGTTCTTCACTTTACCAAATTTTTGAAAAACAAAAGTTTCTTGATCACACTTGATTCTAGGTTGTTGACTTTTGGGTTCAAAGCACATATTCCAATGTCATCCACATCCAGAAGTTTGGCAATATGACTCTAAGTGATGGTCCCATCAGTCCCCATCATAACAAACCTGATTTCTGCCTCTTGAAATCATCTAGATCCATTTTAACCCTGGATTTTCCTTTCAAATCAGTATTCCCAACAATCTAATAACTTACTTCAAGAGCAGCAGGACCTTCATCATAGAGCTCAACCCTAACCCAAAAATATATAACCAAGTAAGGGAAGGTTGGACCATTCAGCATATCAAAAAATTTCATCCAACCTTGATCTTCAAAATATTGATGTAGAGGATACCCATTAGCTCTAGAAGACTCAAAAGAAAAAATTTGTTCCATAATCAGCTTCAAATCTTCTTGGAAAATCTTTATAGTTTTGGGTTTAACATGGTAATCCTTTCCAAGTTTAATATTCATAGTAGCTTGATGAGACGACGATGCCATTGATGGAGTTTTAAGGTTTCTAAAAAGGGTATTTTAAAATGGTTTTATTTTCGGAGAGGCTTGAGAATGAAAGTGTGATAAGTGAAGTCAGATAAGTGTGTGAATATTGATCGATTAAGTGTTTTTAGTGAAAATATTTTTTTATTCGAACAAAACTTAATGACCAAGGAGGCGGGAAGCACAATATTCAAGACACTTCATCATTTTCTGAAGGTTTTTACCCAATAGTTAAAAACCCAAAGATATTTCAGATTCGTGACACATAAGTCGACAAGTGTTAGAAAATGCAATTGAATAATTTTTCCACTTATGTGCTATCAGAGGCAACAAATCTTATTCTGAGTATAAGAGGATGAGATGCTTTAGAGTCTAGTATTCATCAGAAGCTAGTTTAAAGCTTCTAATTACAATAGCTTTTGATCATCATAGACTTTGATCCTCAATTCAGAAGCAAACACTATTCTCAAAGAAAATGTTGAGATTTTTAATAAATTCAATTTCCTTAAAAAAGAAGTTTGATAAATTTATCATTTCATCAATGAATTTAGCATTTATCATAGCTTTATGAACAAATTTTACTAAAGAGTTGTTTAATTTCTATGTGCTTGATTCTTGAATGATGATAATGATATTATTATAAAGTATTGGCATGCTACTTCCACATGTATGATAATCTTCTAAGTGATATTATAGAATATCAGGTCTAAAATCTTTTAAGTAAAACAAAGAACTTACCATACCTTTGTGCATCTTCTGACATACTTTAGTGTTGTTTCCTTTTGGCTCATTTAACTTGTTTCTGAAAACCCATTTTGTTCCAATAATGTTCTTCCGATGATGTTTGGATACAAGATTTCAAACAACATCCCTTTGAAATTGATTCAGATATTCTGAATGAAAAGGCTTGCACTTAAAAGTATTCTTAGAAATGGTTGCTTCCTTGAGAATGATCATGAGCTAATTCACAGACTCCTTCATTAGGATAAACTTTAGTAGTTAGATAACTTCTGAATGAGGGTGGTTTCTGAATCATCAACTTTAATAGTATGCATACCAATTACTTCCTCTTTGGTTTCCTCAAAATCCCATTATTTTCTTCCTCTTTCATAGTTAGGGTTTGGAACATATTCTTTTCTCCGATCATATGTTATGAGAAACCACTGTCTATGTACCAAGCCCGCTGCTTTGCTCCTCCCATTAAACATATATGTAGCAAAAAACAAATTGGGTACTAATAGTTTAATGGGTCCTTTAGGGTTAGTTCTGAAGGGCTTCTTCTAAACTTGTACCTTTAGCCTTCATGTAGTAAAGTTTGAGGCTCTTTGATAAATTTTTTGAGATATTGGATTCGAGCTTCAAAACCTTCTTTCATTTCTTTTCGCTCCTTCAGAGTTTGTTCCCAAATATTTTTCCAATGATGATTTTTCTTGAGAGCTTCCTCTAGATATTGATTATGGAAGTAAAGATCAAAATCAGCTCCATATAGGCATTAACTTACTCGCTTGCTCTTACCTCTTTCAACCTCGACCATCTCCTAACTTTCCTTGAGTTATTTACCCTTTTAGTCAAGATTGCACTCCAGGCCATTTCTTTCATGGGAGACTCAATTAAGATTAGCTTGTAGCTCCTCATTTTCTTTTCCAATTGGGAGAATGGTTTCTTGGAGCTTGTCAACCTCTTCAACGAAAATAGGAACAGGCTCATGGGAGGCAGGTTGTAGGGGAAGTTCAATTGAAAAAGGGAGCTTGATTTCTTGAACCCTTTTTATTACTCACTGACGGTAAGGCTCCTTGGCAGCATAATTCTTTTCCCCAATTCATTTCCCTTGGTATGTACTTTTATCCATGCCCAGATGATCCTTTGCAATAAAGTAGGATCATCAACACCCATGTCGTGCAATATCAAACCTCTCAAAGCTTCATCGTTAAGCTTATCAATCATAAGGTATCCAAGTCGCCTTAGGGCCAAAGTTAGGTTATAAGTGATGCAACCCTTGGATCCAATGAGAGGCACATTTGAGAGCTCCCCATAACTAAATATAATTTCCTCTAAGGTTCCTCTCTTACCATTATATACAATTTCCATTTAGTGAGAACAAGGTCTAGGCCCACTCATCAGTGATCTTCTCTTTGATCTAATGGTCTTCCTTGAATATATGGGAAATTAGCCAAGTACAGAGCAAAGTGAGACAACATAGGATAATGCCATTATTTTTCTCATGGCGCAAATGAAGTGTATGGAACCCATCCGCTAAGAGTGCATGGACATGATTTTCACCTTCTTTCAGAATGGCCCTAAATACACTTATAGGGGCAGATTCAATGAAGTTCAAGTAGGCTAGGAAGAGTACCAAATTGTATACTAGAAGAGCGAGCACATCACCAAAGGCATCCCACTCTTGCATTGTTGCAAGCTCTCATGATTTTTCTTGTAATTAGCCTTTTCAGAAACCTGGGAAATCCCCTTTTCTCTTTCAATTGGAAACCATATCTGGAACATTGATTTTTAAGGCTTTAGCAAGGTCTTCAATTTTAGTAATGAGTCTAATTCTCGTATAAGGAATCTTTCCATTTAGGGGAACCTCTAGTATCTTCTCGAACTCTTACAAAGTAGGTGTCAGTTGGAAGTCTTAAAATAGAAACTTATGAGGGGAGGAAAATATAATTGAGGCAGAGTTGTGATAGATTTTGGATGCACTTCAATTTTCAGAAACTGAGTATCTTTCCATATTTACCAACAAAAGTGTTGCAATAATTAAGATGCAGCTTAGTCTTGAACTCTTTTAAAATGTATATATTAGGCATTTTGTCTTTGCAAAGTATTTCTCCTATCTAACCCATTTTAACTTCTACAAATGTTGGACTACAACTTTAGATTTTGTAATTCCCTGAAAATAAAAATGCACATGCTAAAAATTGTATGATGGAAAATGCAGTTCAATTTCATAAATGGGCTCAAGATAATAGGATAACCATAGAACAACCTATATGAGAAGGTTTCTTACGATGGGATAGTTCTATGTTTTTCTATCAAAACCCCTTACAAAGGTTAGCTCTAGGGTTTTTGATAACAGGTTCCTAAAGTCATGGATCTCAATCAATATTTTATCATGCAACGGGCCAGCCATTTTATGACAAATTGCACGAAAAAGGTCTGCTCTATGTGGGGTTTTCATGCTAACCATAGGAAGTGCATACCTCGGAGATTAACACTATGCACCCGCCATAATTAAGAATGGTTCTGACAGGTTCCTAGAGTGAATGACCCTAATCAGAATTTTAACATGCAATGGGCAGGCCGTTTTACAACAAACTTCACGAACATGTCTAGTCTAGGTGGAGTCTTCATACTAGCCATACAATGTGTACACCTTGGTGACTAACACTGTGGAACTACACTTATTAACTTAAGGTTTTTTCTCTTTTTTTTCCAAAGCTCGAGAATAGAGCATCACTCGAACAAAGTTCGCAGAACTGTAACATGATAAATATATATGACATATATATAAAGCGATAAAATAAAGCAAGATAATAAGAAAATTTAAGAAGAAATATATAAACAAAGCTAACATTTAAAAACTAAAACTACCTAAACTAAGCTAGACCTTCTAAATCCTCGGCAGAGTCATGAGTTGTCGCGACACAAAAAATACTTGAGTGTACACACGCTAGAAAGACAACAAAGTCTCCACCGAAGTTTATTTATTCTAAAGGAAAGGGAAAATGTCGAAAAAACCCTAAAAATAAAAAGAAAATGGTCATCGCAAATAAAATTGGGTTCAGGAGTCGATTATGCAAGGGGAAGATATTAAACCCTTCATATGTGTTGTACTCAACGAGAACCATTTAGTTAGTTTTGAGAATAAAATGTTAGCGTAATGTCATTTGTTTTTTTCTAATTATTATGTGGTATTTACAAAGAGAAATGAGGGACTAAAAATAGATTTTTTTTATGAGGGTGCTTTACGAGACGTTGAATCTTGCTCTCAGGTGCGATGAGGAATTCAAAGTTATGCACTACTCGGTAGCAAATGTTTATTGTTGGTCGATTTTAGTGAAAGGTATTTAGTCACATTTGAGCGGTAAACATTGCTTACTACCCAAATATGGAGACGTCAACATTTGCATCGCATCAGAATATATAACGTAATCTGGATTCTCATAGATTTATGTTCTCTTCACATTCAAGCGAAAAATGTTACTTACTACCTGCGCATGTTAGGAACAAATCATTGTTTGCATCGTCTCAAAATTGACGAAGCATCTTTTGTTTATGAAAAGTTTTGACCTTGAACTAATGCGGAAAAAGACACATTTGATGTATTGAAGTTGATTTTTAGTGGAAGATAAATAGTAAGTTAGAACAAAGTGTACACCTTGTGCGTGATTACTTGAGAATAAAGAGAGTGCACACTCAATTTTTCTTTTTAATACAATTTTATTAAAAATTATTCTTTGCGAAAGACGGGTAATCAGCTAAAACAAAGTGTACACTTTGCGTCCAATACTTGAGAATCAAACAAATATTGATCTGATTGTCTCTTTTTTAATTAGATTTTTTTTGGTGGAAGACAAACAATCGTTGGAATGAAGTGTGCACTTTGCATCCAATTATTCGGAAATCAATCGGATGTACATCTGACATGTCCATCTTTAATCTAATTTATTTTATTTAGAAAAATATTTGGTTCTATTGTGAAAAATAGTTTGATTGATTTAAATAAGAGATTAAATAATTTTAGATTTTTATTAACCAATTAATCAAATTATTAAATTAAATTATATATTTTTATTAAAAAACTAGGGTTTTGGTTTTAATATTTATAGTAACAATAATAATTATAAAAGGGTTAAATATATTTTTTATCCTTATAAGTATCTCAAATTTCATTTTTAATCCATATTAAAAAAATGACAAATTTTGGTCCCTAAAAAAATTTTGTTCATCCAAATTTAGTCCCTGCTATTTTCTAAAATTTTAAAAACTTTTTAATTACCCTT